TGTAATTTTCTATTTTTAGATTATTTGTAAGAACTGAAAATACATATCAGTTCGTAAGATTCCCGTGTAATTTTGACACAAATTACCCAACACACTTGCTAGGCTTAAGAAGTATGTGTGGCTCATAAGATAGTAGTTGTTTTCTATTTTCATTACTCTGCTTTTGTACTATTGTCTCGATATATTTGTAAGTTTATATCTTATTTTATTTTTTGAATATCCCCCTTTATATTTGGCATGATATAAAGCAATTGACTTGCTTGCACGGGCATTTAGTCTTGCTATCCATCTCATTTGATTCTAATGAGAAGATCCCTTTTCCATTTTTCTAAATGTTTGCCAAGACAATATGGTGAGGACCTTTTTAGAGCACAACACTCACACACAATGAGAAAAAGAAGAAAAAGTGTCATCAAATGGGTGTGTAGGACATTTGGTTATCAGTGGACAAAATTAAACTCTTGCATTTTCTCGATTTTTCATTATTTTTTCCCTTTTGTTATGGTTCTTATGATTTTGTTTTATTCACCCAACTCTCATTTGATTGGTAGATGTATTTATTGTTCAATCTTGGCCCTGCACCACCTCTCTCAGTTTCAGTCTCCATCAATAGGCAAATTAGGAATTAATGTACGCTGATTGCAGAGGTACTGAAAGTGTAATTTTACAAATTTTATTGTCCATGTTTTTGGTTTTTGGTTCAAGTCTTGATGTAAACCAAAAGAATTTGAGTAGTCTGATAACAATTTGAACTGCTGTTATATAAAAAAAAATATCGGATAATTAATCACAAATGTTGTCGTTAAGTTGAGTTTACCTTAAAAAATTTTAAGGTAATTTTTTTTTATACATTACTAGTATGTAGCCCGTGCGATGCACGGGACAGGGCTATAAATGCGCCATTTTCATAGAGTGAGTCATTTTTATATAGTATGTCCGTTAAGTAGCTCGTACGATGCACGGAACAGAGATATTAAATAAGTCATTTTCATGGGGCTTGTTCGTTAAAGCATAAAAATAATAGAGTTTGAACATCTCTTTTCCACCTCTTTTCGTCAGTATCATTTTTTTGTCGGGAAGCTAAACTTGAGCCTTTTAGCTCTAGCTAGCCCGTAAATTAATTAATATAATTATCCCACTAACACGTTTATTGTAATATAAATTTGATTTTCAGTATATATTATTATTTTTTGATATTTAAAAAAAATAACAATTTTATTTATTCTTGTTCCTCGTATAATACTCAATTTATGTTATTCTAAAACGTGTTGTAATATAATGTCATTATTATTATTTATGAAAGTATAGATGTAGTCTTCTTCTTCTTTTTATTTTATGTAATGAAAATATCTAGTGTACGTTAATATTATTTATTAATGTAATTACTTTGAGTTATCTAAATAAATTTAAAATAAATATTGTGTACAAATATTTTACAAAATATTTTTATAATAATTAAACAACATAAGACTTTATAGTTTATTCAACATATTGTGCAATATATTTTAAAAGAATTTCACTATGGAGAGAAATCAAAATAAAAAAAATGATAAAAAATAATCATGGTTAATAATAATATACAAATAAATCACTTGTTGAAATTCTAAAGAATAGTTAATATATTTCAATTTTATTATGTGGTCATTAATAAAATTAGTTAATGTATTTATTAATGATATCCTAAATGGTAAATTATATTAATTTAAAAGATTTTGTTTTATAAATTCAATGAAATAAAGATCAAGAAAAAAAAGACAATTGAAAATAATTGCCAAACAAAACAATTGAATAAGCGCAATCAAAACATGATAGCTGCTAGATTTAGTGGTAGAAAAAAAAGATTAAAAAATTAATTATTCTATTTTGATTATTAAATTATTCTATTTTGATTATTAAATTAAAAATAATAACCGCCATCTAAAACAATTTTACTATCCGATTTGATGTTAAAAAAGTTACCGATTTTTTATAGATTTTTATTATTAAATAAACCATAATTTCTTTTTATCA